TTAACTGCCAGAACATACCTATAACATATTAGCAAATTAGACAGAAAATAGATAAAATCCTGAATGATCTCTTATGCCCCTTGTGCTTTTTATACCCCTTTTGCATCTCTTAAGCCCCATTTTTGCCTCTTACCCCCTCTTCTTTCTCTTATTCCCCCTCTTTTGTCTCCTAACCAATTTTTTGTGTCTTTCACCCCTCCTTATGTCTCAAACCCCTCTAATGTGTGTCCTCCACCTTCGTGTGTCTTTTACCCCCCCGTGTAGTGTCTCCTCTCCCACGTGTCTCCTATCCACCACCCCTTTACGCTCTTCCCTTCTCTTCTTACTCCCTCATCTCTAACTTTTCTACATCGTGACATCATGGACCACACTAGAATAGCTTCATGTAACTGAATCAAACATATGTTTCTGAATATTAAAACAGGTTTTTTCTAAAAAAATTTCATTTTCAAGGTTTCTTTGTAAGTAAGCACTCACTTATCTGAGTGCATGCTCACAGTCCTTTATCAGCTAAAAAATTGAAAAAAATAAACAGTGAACGATAACTGTCCGAGGTGACACAAAGGCCTATTTGTATTGTAACCGCATCTCCATGATCAATTAACTGTCTTTTCCAATTAGCAAAGCAAGAAATCACAAAACATCCCAGCCTGAAGGTGTCCTTGGTATATGTTGCAACTTGCTAGATGTTCATTTTACGGAATCCTTGCCACTATGGCAGAGTATCCATGGTTAAGCGCCTCCTGGGATCAGAATACCACACTTTCACGGACAGCATTTGTTAGCAAGCAGAAGGGAGCTCTGCTGGTACTTCATTAGGAAATGGCTGATAACTGGCTTGTTTGACAAGGAGAGAGACGTGATGGATTAAGACCATGGATAAAATTAAATGATATCCCTTCAATTGCATCTTACAGCAGCAGGTCACCCGTCACCTTGGGTCCGAACATCTATTAACTCCCTGTGGCATATAGGATCTATTATTATATATTTATAGATCATTCAAATTTATAAGGCGTATTGATTTATTTATACTCAAGGTGTTAATAGATATGTGTTTCTAGCCGTGAA